AACCCAACAGTATGTGCTGTTGGGAAATACGTAGATAAAATTTTCGGGGTCGGTTTGTGCAGTCGAAAATAGACACATTCAGTTTATCTACGTAGACAATTTTTGGCACATTTATTTACCCAAGCTTCGGACAAACTTCGTCGAAGTTTACCCGGAGGTTTGTGGAGACTTCGACATACACAAGCCGAAGTTTACTCGAAGTTTGCCCGCAGTTTGTCCGAACTTTAAAAGCATGAAAGTCGAAGTTTCGACTTATGGGTTGCATAAACACACGGTTTTGTGCACAACACCCCCGCCGCAGACTTCGACTTAGGTACTTATACAAACTTCGACTTATAACTCGAAGCTTTTTGCAAGTTTCGAATTTCGAAGTTGCGACGAAGCTTCGGATAAACTTCGGCGTTTGGTTCGCCGAAACTCCGGCGAAACCCGCCGCAAACTTGGCACAAACTTCGGCCAAACTGCGGCGAACAAACGACGAAGTGTGACGAAGGTTCGTCAAAACTTCGGCATTCGCGGGGCCGCAAGTATATCTACGCAGACACATTTTTGTCTATGCAGATAAACTGTGTAGACAATTTTTCTCTACATAGATAAACTTTGTAGACAAAAATTTGTCTACGTAGATAAAGTTTGCAGACCAATCTTTGTCTACTGTAGACAAATATTTGTCTGCAGCATAGAGACTTTTGTTTGCTTTTTGTCCAAGGTAGACAACATGTTGCCTACGCGGGTCTAGTGGGAAAGTGGTGCTGAGGTGCAAAAGGCGTAAGCGGCCAGGCTCGGATCAAGAGGAGCATCTCGGGTCATGAAGAAGAGCGCAGAACGGTGGAGTCACCGGCCGGATTCAGTGAGCCGGGTCAGATAACCTGGCGATTTGGCGTACGACAAGGTACAGAACCGATTGACAGGGGGACGGCGCCGCATCGAGGCTAACAGCCAGCGCGTAGGTGAGATGCTGACAGTCAAGTGTAAAGTACACTTCCTGCCTCATGGAGTGAGAGAACGGTCAAGCCGTATCAGCGCTGGATGCCCGATGAGTACCGGGGCCAAGATTGGCGGCATCATCTCCAGTCTCGAAGCTGCAATGGCGGCTATGGCCACCATGCCGATCCTCGTTTCCCGGCCGCTTACGGTGCAGCTCGATCTCTGCTGAATTTCTATCAATCCATGCAGATTGCTGCGCGCCATCGTGGCATCGGAGCTGTTCCATTCACGTTCTCGCGTACGCGTATTATGAGTCCAGCGCCATGATTATCACGATTCCAACGATCGTCAAACTCATGGAGGCGAACGCTACGGCGCTACGGGTGGCAAGACGCTCTTGCAGACTCCCGTGCTGAATGATCATGGGAACCCAGAGCAGCTTGCTGACATGCACCCGCGCCATTGCGAAACGGAACCATAACACCAGCGATTTGAATTCTTCCACTCGTCGATCGATGATAACGGACAACCCAAGACTGAGGGCATCCGAGCGATATATGGGTTCGGCCCCGATTGCTTCCACGCTTTCGCAACCTCATGAACTCCGATAGCGGACCTTTTGTCAGCCTGGCCCAAAATCGATTCACTGGCACTGGGCAGAACAAGAGAAGGTCCAACGGCTGCGATCGTTGACACACGGGCGATGGAAAGATCATCGTTCCCGAGTGGGTCTCTTTTCACGATACTGCTCCCTTTTCCTCCTCCCGGTTCTGATAAGAACAACGCCTGGGCCGAGACTTTTATCCAAACAAGGAGGAAGCTCGGCAGGGAGACGCTGACTCCCGACGCTCAGGAGGCATCGTTCCTTTAAAGAGGACATGTGTGCACAGTTCCTGAACAAGGTTCACTTCCATGGATGCGGGTATAATGCGATACAGGATAATATCCCGCTATCCTGCCTTGCGCTTGGATACTTTGTGACACGAGTTCGATCGTTTTCAACAGCCCTTTCAAGTATGTCGCCGGTCCCATATACGGTGTTGGACCTGAAACAAACCGAGGGGAGCGGCGATCCGACCGGACCTTGACATGCCCACGCAACTGTGCCGGTGCTACGTACATGTGCAGTCTGCGCTTCTGCCCACGGTGCACCAGACCGATATACTATCCGGATGGGCTGAGATCCGCCAAACGCAAGAAAAGGAGTTCGTTCTCCATCAGTACAAGAGCCTACGGATATTTCGGAACCTCCCTGCTACTCGATCACTTGTGGAAGAACACCGGAAAACGGCCTTTTTTGTGCCTCCGACAAAATAAGAACGAAGTCGAAAACTTCCGCAGAAATGTGAGAGGCACTCTGCAGGCAGCAATCCGAGTTGACATTTCGGTTGCGAGGCTGGTTGCTGCCATGTCTGGAAAGCTTCCCTGATTACGGTGGAAGACTTCAAAACTTCAAAATTAATTCGGAAAGAAGCAGAACCGGTTGTCAAGCATTACGGCTCCTTGTCTCTCAATTGCAGAGAGAAACCACTATGTTACTATGCACAGTGGTCATGACAGTTGACTGCCGTGAATGCATCCGACAGAAATATTTGCATCCGCGCTGCGTCCAAACTGGTAGCACTCCGGCTGAAATCGATGAAGATTGGATGACCATGAACAGCCTGGTTGAGGTGCACAGAAGAAAGGACGATGCCGTGATCAGAATGCGACGCGGGATGCGGGGATGAAGACAGCCATCGAAGATCCCAGTCTGTGGAGTACCACCATTGCTGGGCTGATTTAGGCGGCTAACGATGATACTTTGCTGCCCACCATTAGCAAGTCTGCCGCTCATACCCTGATTATTAATTATTATAGGCTCAATAAGTGGATCCTTGCAACCCGATAAATAAACGTGGAGAATGCAGGGATTGAGTCGATGGTTGCAGGTACTCCCTCACGATCTGGAAGACTTCAGCCTACGAGAAAGGTTCAGGGCCGCGCTCCCTCGCCCGATTCATCGAGTGCGGGCACTGAAGCGATCAATCCTGAGTATGGAACTGCTGTCCGTACCGCATCTCAGCAGCCCAAGAAAACTCAGAGAATGGAGCCCTGGCGCCCCGAAAGGGGACAAGCCTATCTGAGCGGCTGACGCTGCTGAAAGACGCGGTCGATCTCCTGGAGGACCAGCGCCGGTTGGATTCACCGGATCAGTGATGGAATCCTCAGCTCCTGATAGTGATAGGGAGCACCCTAACGATAACTTACAGACTCTCACTTCCCATCCGAAATCTTCTCGACCAGTTCGTGAAAGCCCTGCCAAAAGGGATAGGAAAATCCAAGGGCAAGCCCAAAGGCGAGAAGGGCAAAGGCGATAAAGGTGGATTCGATAAAGGAAAAGGCAAGGGAAAAGATGTGAAAGGCGATCGAACACGTAGTCCCCCAGATCGGCGCGACGATCCACGGCGCCGAAGGTAGAACGTAACCGATCGAAATAGTGATGATGCATGGTGGTTTTACTAGTGGATCCGGTTGAGCTTCCGTGAGCATGTTGACTCGACCTAGAGTTAATGTTCGTGCCGGCTCTGATGGTGAAGCGGCACTTAGACACCATTTCCTTCGCTTGCCTCAGCAATGCCTTGTCCTTGCCGAAGCTGAGAAGACCCACAGGGGTGCAATGGCTGCCATGGTATTTTCCTCGTGTGTCTATCTTTTTGCACTGAGCTGCTGCATGCTCTGAGAGCGTCGATCAAAAGCGCAAAACCCGAACAACGATTACATGGATCTGTCCGGTGCATCCCGATATAGTGCATCGCTACAGTTTTGAAGTCGCATCGATTGCGAATGCATGCGTGAGCTCGCGTCGATGGGGGTGTAATTTGTCACCGACTTGTGGACACGTGCACCTTGGTTGCTTGTTACGTCTCATGCTAATTTTGTGTCACTCGCAGATTGACTGCTCAAGACGTGCTTCACACAACGTCCGGCAGAAGGCCGCTAGTGCATAGGGTCGCCTTAGCTTTGTTTCTTCGCTGTGCAGTTAACCTAACGGGGCTACATTCCGATTCGACCTCAAGCTTTGCCCTGCTTCTGGAGTTGCGTTGCTTGCTTGGTAATTATACGACTGGTTGCACCCTGCTTTGTGACCGAAAGTCAAATGGATTCCTTTGCTTTTCATACTAAATTTGCGGCCCTGCCCCACTTCTGTTACTTGTGTGTATGAATGTGTGTAGAAAACATATATGGTTGTGGTTAGTATACGGATCTTTCTAGCCCCGATCTGTTGGGGGTCCTTGTAAGTTTTGAGGGTTTATGCTTCCCACGTGAAAAGCACGAGAGTGACGCGAAAACTGCGTGGAGAGGTCATCTCTTCCGAAAAGACGGCCATGTATGATTGCTCAGAAGCCACTCAGTTGCCCAACTTTATTTAAATTGTTTGCCCGGCAGTGTAACTAGCAGGTTTACCCCAGCTTCGCTCAACTCATGCCGGAATCCTATTGACATGTAGTTGCAGCTGCAGACTCGAAGGCAGCAAAGCTGCAAATGCTCAAGGACATGATGATGGTGATGACGATGACGATGAAAGATAACGATGGGAATGATGACGTGAACGATGATGGTGATGATGATGACGATGCAAGATGACGATGGGAATGATGACGTGAACGATGATGGTGGCGGCGGGGATGATGATCCCGATGATGATGATGATGATGATGATGTTGATGTTGATGTTGATGATGATGATGATGATGGCCTGTCTGAGAAGAATGACGAAACACCGCAAACGCAAAACTGCAAGCTGCAGCTGCATGCCGAGCAGAATGATAATGCTGATGGATGATGCTGGGGATGATGTTCCTGACGACAACGAACCAACAGTTGTTTGCTTCGTCTGGTGGGATGCCTCCACACTTAAAAATTTATGCATCGATATGGAGCCAAAAGACTCGCCAAGTCAAGTTTCGCTATAGCCAAATTATATCTAGTTTCCTCCGCACGCTGGAGGCGAGGCCGCGGCACTATCCTCCTCAGTGGTGCAACGATGGCGATGCGTGGAGGACGATCGTTCATGCTGCAGCTTTCTTTGCCCATCTCGTTGCACAGAACGATGAGCAAGAGTGGCGACCTTGAGCATGTCCGGCAGGACCGAAGTTTGCATGCATGGCCCCCATCAAGGCCGAATATCCCCATTCGTAATCGGCAAAGTCGAGACTGTGTCAGACATCGCAGTCGCCTGTGTGTGGTTTTGTCAAAGGCAGCATTGCGCTCCTTGGGCCAGGCCATGCACCTTGGCCTCCGAAAGTCAATCGATCCCGAAGCAGTCGGATTGCAGAAGGAGGTATAGTGTTGGAGCGCTGAGGTATCAGACCTATGCCCCGAAGGGCGTTCATGTGGCTCACGTCGTCATCGATGGTGTCATTGAGTCTCCAAACACCAAAGCCTGGGCTACAAAGGCCCGGTTTGGGCGCATGTCAGCGATGGCCCTGAAGTTGCAGATTGGTCGTGGTGTATCGGTTTAAACGAGGCAGAGCATCTCAATATGGCATGCTTCTCCCAGCAAGTTTTATCTTGCATCACTTGCTCCCACTGAAGTATCTTCCCCTCGGCAGATGTACGAGGTCATGCTGCAGGATCCGGCGGACTTGGCTGATGCCTTCTTCGCACTGCACGAGCAGAAGCCCTGTGTTTGGTCTTATGCACCCTGGATGCATCTGGATGCATCAAGGCTCAGTCGAGTGGCCCGAGCATCGCTCCGGCCCTGCTTTAGCGCTTTGCTGCTTTGCTTCCCCTAGATAAATCCTGCACAAAGCGCTTGGGTGTTCTTTTCGGAGTCGCCCAGTTCAGCTGTTGGCGTGCCAGGAGATTCAGCTGACGCCCTGCAAGGAGTCCGTGGGCATGCGCCTCTGAGCCGGCAAAGCCCCGTGCACATGTCGGACTTTGGGCGGTCGGCAGACGAACCTGAACGGAGCATTGCAGACTCAGATCGAAGGTCTTCAAGCGTCGCAGGCTGGAATACTACGGCCGCTCGCCGCTATCCGCTAACCTCGCCAGTAGGCGCCGGACAGCTTTGATGTCTTGCCTCAAGCCTCGAAGAAAAGGAGCCGTCTGCACGACTTCTGGGGAGGCGCGCACTGGCGACAGGGGCTGCTGAGCTCTCGCCTTCAGGAGTTGCGACTTCGACCTTTGTGAGCGGTGCTTCTCTACTTCCAAGAAGGTGGGGGGGGCTCTGATCGCTTGATGACTTGGAAGACGCCCAAAGTAGAGATATCACTAAGCTAAAGTAATGTACATCAACCATCTTCAGTTTTTGCGGCGTGAGTTGTCAGTTTGCACTCCAGTCAGTTTGGCTAAGACCCTTGCAGCGATGTATTCCATGGTTTGGCCCTTGCAGTGAAGTAAGCAATCTCTACCCTCAAAGTTGCCGCTGCTTGTTGTCAAGTCTTCTCGGGATCCGCTTCTTCAGGGAAGACTTTCCAGAAGCACTTTCCTCGACATTGGAAGCCCGGAAGCCAGCGTTTTGTCCCTGTGCAATGCAGTGAGGCCTACTGGAGAGCGACACAGGAGGCTTCCACCTCCTCTTGCTGCCTCGGGGGATGACTGGACATGCCGGCGGATTCAGGTTTACGGGATGGCGCCTTGGCAGGGGTGCTTCAGGCTGGACCTATAATCTCCATGCCACGTGCAAATTACTGTAGATCTGATCGGCCGCACTCTTCGGAGAAGTCGCTCGGGTTTCGTTCTAGCGGTAGTAGCCTGGAAAGCTTTCCAGAACCTGTGTGCTTATACGAAAGTTCTAGCAGTCTAGTATTGTCATGAGTTGGTTCGGGGTGCTGGAGGCTCGCCGAAACCTCGAGTGTCCCCGCAGTTGCTCCGAGTCTGAGCTTCAAAGCATATGGCGACCGATTAGAAGTTTGCAGACGGTTTCGCTTGAACGCGCTGCAGGCCTCGCTAGGGCTTTTAAGCAACACACATACTTCTAATTGCTGTGGTCTTGAACATCATCCGCCCGGTGACCCGGTGGCGAGCAGGGCTTGATGTGAGCAAACGCCCCACAACCTTAAAAACGTGGTCGCACTGTCGGTGACCTAGGACAGATGCGAAACCAGTTCGGACACGGGAGCTGGACAAGAGAGTGCAGCCGTGTGCGGTTCCACCAGAGAACATGCATCATGCGCAACACGTGGATCCATGCGCCAGCCTCGAACACTCTCCACAAGTGTCCCGGGTCCCGAGTCTCGCTTGCAAGCCATCGCTCCATCCAAAATCGTCGGATTCGGGTTTCACGTGGTCTGCGCCCCGTAGTAGCAAATCCGCCCACTAGCTAGTTGACCAGCCAATGCTTAGAGCGATTTCTCAGCTTCGGCGATGGATCCCTGCCATTGGGGATGGCACAGCCGGCTCAGCAGATCTGGTGCTGCCCTTGGCATCGGGGTTAACTAGGGACATCCTAGACAGCGGGTCAGCCTTGTCTGTCCCTACACAGTCTACAACATTTGTGGGGAGCCCTGCATTTAAGCAGCTCGTTCTTCGGCGACTGGCACTATCGCCGGGCCTCGGCTCGAGAGTTTAAAGGGTTTACGGGCTGTTCAAGAGCTTGAGCCGGGAAAACACAGGGGGTCTTCGAGACTTCGATCTTCCAGGTTCTCTTGGTGGTCGCTCTTGCAGCCGGGCCCAGAGCTTGGGTCCCAACCTGGTGCTGCAAGTATCACTGCACGAATGCATGTTGACAGCACCAAGAAAGGCCTCAAGAGCCCGATGTGCTTTTAAGCTTCGTGTCCCGTTGCAGCCATTTGTGCTGGGATTTTTGCCATACTGAGCAGCGGTCTTGTTGTCCAGCTTTCACAGGGATGGCCGTTTCGCGGGCTCTCTTGTTCGCCTCACTTGTGGGAGTGCCTTGACCGCCGTTAATCAGCTGCGGTCTCCCACTGTTTCATGCACGAGAGCTTACGTCAGTGAGAGCACCCTTTGCGAGGTAGACGCCACTTGTGTTGGAGACACCTGCGCACCGCGGACGGATGGCCCATGGCTGTTGCAGCAAAGCAGCCGTCGTGGACAGCTTCAATCCACTGTCCAGGTTGCCGCCTGAGATAGCATAATCATAAGCAAGCCTGCTGAATTCCGAATCGAGGGAGTCTGTCTGTGATCTCGCAGGTGAATGCCACACCATCGGAACTGATGCCTTGTCTTGGGGGGGCAGTGTTGACCACGGCTTGCATGACGGCAGCGCAATATGACGTGGCTTGGTCCAACCTCACAGCAGCACATAGATGCAAGCTAAGACAGCTGATTCACAGATAAGGACGTTGTGTCTGCTGTTCGTGGCCACTTGGAGAGCTTACCAGCAATCTGCACTGCCACGGATTGCCCTCAAGCAGACTGGGCGGGCTGTGTTCTGCGAATGGCTGGACACGACTTCATGGACTTTGCTAATGGCCAAGGTGGCGCGGACGCCTGCACGGACATGACTGATGCAGACAATGGCGGCCTGCCTGCCTGCCTGGCAAACGGAGAGCATGGGATTTCGCTGCGGGAAGTCTACCAGGATTTCTGCACGAGCGTGTCTTTGGCGGACTTCCTGGTGATTGCTGCAGAGGCCGTTATAATGTCTACCAGAGCTCGACACGAAACAGCAAACCCGTCGGCCCCTCGGCTTGATTTGCGCTCGTCTTTCCGTTTCGGCCGTACAACTGCAGTCACCTGTGACTTTGCTGCTGGTCGTTTGCCAAATCCAGAGAACGGCTGCGACGCCGTTGAGCAGACGTTTTTGGATGGAATGGGCTTGGACTGGACGGAAGCTGCAGCCTTAATGGGTGTCCACAGCTTGGGTCGCGCACAGGTGAGCAACTCCGGCTACCACGGATGGTGGAGCGATCCTGAGAACTCCCGTCGTTTCAACAACGACTACTTCGTTTCCTTGTTGGCCAAAGGCTGGATCCCAGAGCTCGCCGTGGCTGGCAATGCTGGCAAGAATCAGTGGGAGCGCAGCGACATTGGCCGCGACACTAGCTTCGACGGTCACGAGATGATGCTCAACTCCGACTTGTGCCTCGTCTACAGCGAAAATGGCCGAAACGGAGGCCCAGTCCTTGCGACTGAGCACGACTGCTGCGCTTGGTTGACATCCGATACCATCCCAGGAGCGCTTTCAAGCAACGGGGGCGAATATTGCGGAGGCAACCCCGGGCGTGGAGAGCGTGGACAGTGCTGTGGCGACCAGGCTGGCGATTGTGGCGACCGCAATGATCCAAACGGTCCTGCTGCGGATGCAGTGCTGCTCTTTGCTGGCAACGAGGCTGCTTGGCTAGAGAGCTTCGTCCGAGCGTGGACGATCGCCATCGACAATGGCCACGAGAACTTGCATGCCCTGGGTCAGTGTCCCGAGACCACCGCCACAGTCACAACCACCACAACCACCACTACATCGACGGGCAGCACTCAAAGCGTCACTACAGGTGCAGCAACCACGCTGGGAACCACCACTGTTTCGACCACAAGTACCCCGACGCCCAGCACCACCTCGGCGGCCGCTCGTCAGCTACGCTTCACTGTTGTGTGAGAACGCGAGCGCCGAGACGGCATCCCCACCCTATAATATAAAGTTGATTGCTTTCATGGCTACTACCCGCACCCCTTCCCCACTACCACCCTCCCCTCCCTTCCCTCCCTCCCGACCTCCCTCCTTCCATCTCACTTGACTGACTGCAAAGGACGAAAGGACGAAGCCTTCCATGTTTCGAAGCATTTCCCAGACAACCTCCATAAGGTACTAAGTTCTCTTTGTGAGAAGGGGAGGGCCCGGCTCAGTCTGAGGGCACAACACAAGCCACGACGCGGCCAAGCCTGGACCTGCTTCGTGGATTTCGGCTTGTTGATGGAGGACTCCCGTCGGATGGACAAGTGACAAGTCTGCGTCTGCTCTGCTGTCGTAAGTCTCTGTGTGTGTGTGTGCATACATGCATATGTGCATATATGTGTATGTGCATGTATATACGTGTATGCTAATTAATATGTATGTCTAGAAAAGACAATGTTTTTTTTGAAAAAGTGTGTGTGTATATATATATATATATGGTACCCCGCCTCCCGTACCTATAGGTTGTGTCCGCTCAAGTCAGCCGCCTTGTCCCTAATATGTGTTCGTGTCCCTTGGTTGTTGCGTCTCTGGGAAAGTAAGCCTTTGTTTACACTTCTGGCTCCCGAGGCTTCGAAAATTTTGGATTTACTGGATGTTTCTCAACTCAGGGTTCACTATGGTCTTTGCTCCCGAGGTTCCTCGAAATTAATGGAAATTGTTGGAAATGTTTGGTAAAGCCAACATTTTCCATGATTTGTCTGGGTTGGTTTTAGCAACATTTCCAACAATGTCCATGATTCCGGAAACTATGGCTCCGGCGCCCGAGGTTTTTCCAAATTCATGGAAAGTGTTGGTAAAATCCACATTTTCCATGATTTGTCTGTGGGGAATCATGGAAAGTCTTGCAATGTCCATGATTCCGGAAACTATAGCTCCGGCTCTGGAGGTTTTTCCAAATTCATGGCAAGTGTTGGAAATGTTGGTAAAACCAACATTTTCCATGAGCTGTCTGTGGGGAATCATGGAAGGTGTTGGTTTTACCAAGATTTCCAACAATTTCCATGATTATCGAAACACTCCAAATTTATGGAGATGGTTGAAAAGGTAGGATTCGCCACCAGGTAAATATTTCAAGCCGGTGTTACCGAAATTTGTGATAGAGCACACCCTCTGTACTCATGCGATGTGTGTTTGCAAAAATGGGCGGGTAAGGTATTCGCATCCTTGATTAAACTCAGTATTTTGTCCAATACGAAATTAGGTCATCATCTCAGCTTGAAGACGTTCCTGTGCGAACAACAGCTCATTGTCCAGAGCTATACTTCATCTCTATGGTTCAAAACTTTACTGTAGGAAGTATGGTTTCTGTTCCAACATGTTCATGTTGGTTTCATCACACACTTCCGAAGACAAAAACAGTGTATTTACTTGTGTCATATGTTGTTTGTTGTTTGCATGGGGCTGTAGTCGTTGTGTTTAACCATTTTTGGTGTGGCTTGATGTGCTTATAATAAAGAGCCCTTCATCAAAAGACGATCATTCACTCCAGAATTCTGACACACATCATTGTCGAATGGTCGTCGTTTGGTAGGTGCAAAATTTCGAAAACGAAGTTGAAAAGACTACAAATCTTAGTCCGACCAATTAAAATGCACAGGGCTTCTGCTATGCACACACTTAAGATTCTTAAGATGAACTAAACCCAGACTAAACATGTCTAACTTTACTGGGCTTGAAAACAAACAGAAAAACTAGCAAAATCGTAATAAGCAGCGGAACATAGAACCTCAGGTGCAGTACACAGCCACGGCATGTTGCATTATGTTTGACTTGGAACACTAACAAATGTGTTACTTGATTAACCATCATCCTACCAAGAGGTCTGATAAGCCCAAGAGTGAATATTCAAAGGGTGCTGAATGGTAGGTTTCTAAATGAAGTGTATAAACACAGGACTCAGCAAGTAGTACATGTATTTCATATGTAATGCTTGGTCATTAGTCAACAAGGTTTCTGAACAATATACGAAGCGCTCTGAATAGCAATCACAACAATAGTCTACAATAGTTGACAGTGAACCTTGATGCAGACATGATAAGACAGCGGGATGTAGATAAGTATCCACCTTGATACAAAATCTGCGTGGGTGGCCATGGGGATGCTACAGTGCGATCCCATGCCGTGCAAAGTTCTTTTTTTTTGTGAGCTGCAGTAGGCCTGCTTCGCCATACCCCCACTCGCTCACTAGTGTATGTAGGCTCCTCGCGACCACCGGCATCGTTGACAAAACATTTTTCCTATGCCATTCCTTGCTTTTGTCTGCGTGCGCATGCACTCGCAGCATTTTCTGTCCGATTTCTTTCGTGCTTGCTCATGATGCTCAAGCAAACATATAGATTGCTTTCGGCACAGACTCTTGACACAACAATTCATGGCTGACTCATGTTTGCGA